TACGATAAAAGTAAATTTGCGGTCTTAACACAAAGACCATATTGCATGACTTCACCATGCCTGCTTTTGCTGCTGTAATATCTTCAACGCATAAGCTTAATTAAGTCTCCAATATCGTAAAAATTTATATTAATATATGATCTATTAATATTAAGTTTAAAACCCACAAACTTACGTTTATCGTGAAACTTTTGCACATTGCTGGAATAATCCCTCACATTTCATAAAATATGAGAAATTATTTACTTTGTGTTTGGGGGGCCATACGTAATAATGGTGTTTTGTATCTGGACAACCACTGCCATATCGTCCGCCTATTTCTGCCTTGAGAAACAAGAGTGGATAAGTTAGAGCAGCCTACTGTTATAACACAAATGAAAATTCAATAAATTTAAACAGTAGTATTGAAATAAACACATATTAAACGAACTTAGCTCGAACCTCCTGTAAGTCTCAGCTTGTTTTTGGTTCTGAAATGATAAAGAAACCTCACGCAATTCTGAGAAGTGCATCCTGTCACGCTCCAATATCTAATCCTCATACTCATGGCTTATTAGTAAGCGTTTGGTGCTTAATAATCACTGATTTACTGAAGCGGATATTAAGTTTGAAATAAAGCTCTGTATTTTGCTGCCTTCATCATGTTAAAAACTTGCTAGTGCTAGAAATAGTTTTAATTGTAAAAATCCATTCAAAAAATTAAGGTTATCTGTTGTAGTGGTGGGGTCGCGCGTTCTCTACGAAAATCCTAGTACCTTGAAAGGGCTAGGGTAATTATATCATAATTATCCTAGTAACCTCCACCTCCAATCACCTTTTATAATTATATATTGAGGAATCTCATGAATCATAAATTGGCTGGTAAAAGTGTGCACCTGCATTTGGGTAATTTCCTGCAACCATTTCGAAGGTTGCTTCACACCAAGTTGGACGCATGTATGATAATTTTGAGTAGGGCGCTATCATAATTCTCTATTTAGATAACGCTTTATCGCCTTCTTATCATCGCTATCATTCAGATATCGCTGAAGGTTCGAGGTATTGATCAAGAAAGAAGCATCCTCCCGCTTCACAAAGACTTGTGCTCCCTAAAGAACAAGCTCTATGTGGAATTTATTTCTCATTGTTCCTAATGATCAAAACACGGATTTGTTCTTTAATGTGCGAGTGCTTTCCTGTTTGTGATCTCCAGCAAGTTGCAAATCAATAGTATATGCTTTGAATGTAACTTGACATTGGGAACAGAGATATTTTTTAGGTGAGTTTACGTTCCAGTACGTATATATATTTCTTAATTGCGGATACGAAGTCAAGTATCGATTGTTTTAGAAAAGCGATAAACATCACTATTTCCGTCATCCTACATGTATTTATTTTGATAGAAACGAGTTGTTCAATTTATTTCATTTAGTGCTTCAAAATTTTGTGGCAGTATAGACTGCCAGTTTGTTATTCAAGTTGTTTTCTTCAATAGTAACCATGAAGTTAACATTGCAATGTTTGAAAATTAAATTAATGTTTGAACTAAACTGAGTAGATTCAACAGTCCAAGTTAAATTTTCTTATGTAGTAATGTAGCTGGCATGCACATGATCTTGCAACAATACCCTAATGTATCAATAAGTCAATCATCTGAGTACACATTTCGGCTAAATAGAATTTCCATTTAACTATGGCACAGTGACAACTGGTATTTAACTATGGCACAGTGACAACTGGTATTTAACTATGGCACAGTGACTCCTGGTATTTCAAGATGTCCACGTAATTTCCTTGATTTAATGTCAAGATGTCATTCAATGTGTAGTTTCTTGCATAAAAACATTTTCGTCACGCCTCGTATGAGAAAAACGAAAATGCGGTATGTCTCAATGCAGTGTTTCATAATGCAGTGATACCTATTATTCGTTCCTACTTGACGCAATCTATTCACTGATAACGCTCAAGATCGAAAGACCTTCATTGTCGATCGTTTAAGTTATTTTGATTGGCAACAATATATTCCTTTAAACAGCGACGTATTAACTATAGCGTTTTGTGACTTTAAGTCAACATCGAGTTGCAAGCCGTAAGCTCAGTGCAGGTACTTTAACATCTTGAACCCTGCAGAGCCTCGATTATACTCCTACTCTTGGACTGAATTTGAATTCTTCTGACTACATTTATTAATGAATTGAGTTCATTTTAGCTTCGTGCTGTTTGTTAAACTCAGTTATCAATAAATTGAGTTTAGCTCATTTCAGCTTCGTGCTGTTTGTTAAACCCATGCAGATTCTATTATCGCTAATATCCGCTGCTTATATATTTCTAAGAATGGCTTGTGTTCGTTTCTCTCCTATAGTTACGTCTTCGACTGCGAGGTGAATTTGGACCACAGTAAAAATGAACCAACTCGAAATTCTCATCTGTAGCTACATCAAATTTCTCATTAAATCTGGACCATTCGACGAGTCTTAATCTGTTGTTAGAATATATTGTTAAAAATTTGTACATAATAATCTGGGCTTACCCACAATTTTTCTGATAATTGCATTGAGGACCTGAATACGACTAAGACGCTCAGACTTTGCATATGGGTTAGACGCTTAATTGGTTGGCATCAGGAGCATTCCGTTGAATAAAGTCATGCGGGTGGCCGCCTCCGAAGCCGTCCTGTGATTGGTGGCTGAGTCACTCCCAGTCCCACGTCCAACGCCCAACAACTTATTCACTTCAGAATTTCCGTTGAAGTAATTATTTGGGCGGATGTTTTACCCCTGGTACTAATTGAGATGCCTGTTCAAATTTTTTGTCTCATGAGTTAATATTTTTTCTAGTATGTCGTATTATTTAAGAAAATTGTATTTTTTAAATCGCTGATGAATCGTATGCCTGAAACATATATAGCCTAAGTTCAAGGAATTTTGAGGACGTGGTCACGTTAAAAAAAATCTTGTTTGAACATGTCAGTCGCGGCTTAAGTTTCAGTGTCTCATAAAACGGTATGGCTATGTTAAGTGTTGGCGCAGTGATGGATTATGGTCACGTTGAAAAAATCTTGTTTGAACATGTCAGTCGCGGCTTAAGTTTCAGTGTCTCATAAAACGGTATGGCTATGTTAAAATGTTGGCGCAGTGATGAGCTTACCAACACAACACTACAGATGAGAGATGCCCATCTCCCCGTGATAGCCTTTCTTTGTTATAATAAAAGTGTCGGCACTGAAGAAATAAGCCAATGGCCTACTTCTTCAATTTCAATTCAAAAATTTCGTGCGCAAGTTGTAAAGCTTTATTATGCCCAACATTGTATGAGGTTGAACCTTAGAAATTGAAGAACATTAAGAATTCTAAGTATCATGTGTGTGAAGATTTCCGCTGGATTTATGGTAAAATTCTTTTGTTAGGCCCAATCAATTGTAAGTCGGTTTTAACTGAATTGTGAGTTGTGTTCTTGTCTATGTTAACAAGTAAAAATTTTCCTTTGGTACATCCAATAAATAATTAAACCACTATATTGGTCAGGGACCAGTAGAGTAGACTGCACACTTTTTCTTCTAGAAGCGCGTATTTGCACAGCGGAAGTAAATTACCGTCCCTCAAGTGCAATTTATTTCTGGTTACACACGCCTCGCATCAAAGCTTGGTAACTTAACTTTCATCAAGAGAACTATACGCTTCTTCAGAATTTGAAAACAATTCATCGGTCCCGTTGCCTATATATATACACCGTTTGTACCGATCGTTTTGAAAGTTTTGAAATAACCTCAACCAAATTATTTATTCATATTTACTTTGAAAATTATCTCCTTTCCAATTAAAACCCTTTCAGTTGTAAACATTAGTGTGAATGCTTAGACTCGTGAGGTATTTATGCATTATCTGGTCTTTACGACGGAGCTCGCTACCTCTTAACGCGCCCGATATAAAGCCCCTTTCACACAGGGCAGTAGATACTGCCGCGTCAAAAATGCCGCGGCAGTATTTACAGCGCAATCTTTCACACGAGGCGCTTTTTACTGCTGGGATCTATCAGTCTTGCAGTGCTTTATGCACCATCAGTCCATCTCTATGTTTATGTAACAATATTTCTTTATGAAAATTAAGGAAATATATATTTAACAATGTATATCTTTATGTTTGTGTAACAATATTTATGTACCGATATTTATGTTACAATATCAGTCTATAATCTATCAGTCTAGCAGTGCTGTTTATTATGCACCTAAAATACGGCCCCACTGTCTGCTGGGATCTGGCGTCAAAAACCGCCCAGTGTGAAAGATTACATTGAAGACCATTGCAAGCTAAACTGCGCGACAAATCTACTGCCGCAGTTTTAGCAGGACAGACGCTGGCGTCAGGCGTCAAATTCTACGCCGCAGTGAATGCAGTCGTGTGTGAACAGCAGTGCACATTTCGTATGTCCGCTAAGGTTCGGCAGTAAATACTGTCGGACGCTGGCAGTATTTACTGCCCTGTGTGAAAGGGGCCTAAGAGCTTGTTCATGCCCCAACGCTCGACGCTATCTACGCTGAATCCTTCTGTCTTATAGTTATCTGTGTTCATGCTCGTTTTTCTTTTGCTGATATGCGACCTGAGCCTGAAACCGTTTGCCCCTGCAAGCTAATACTGGATTAACAACGATCATGTTTCCTGGAAACTGTCTGCCCATTGTTATTTAAGACTCGAAGAACACAATAATGCCGTAGGCTAGATAAACGCTATTCTTCGTTGAACCTATAAAGTGTTTACTGCTAGAGAAATTAACTTGGAGAATGACAATCAATACTTTTCAGCGACTAGTGGACACACAAGTTTTGTTGCAACATCGTTTTCATGGCTCTGGAAGTCAACATGCTTGTGTTTTGTTATACGCAAATGAGGAGTTAATTTTGAATTACGAAACAATTCAGGTGTTTTGTTGTCTGTTCCAATCGTCTGTGATCTCATTCTTAACGGCATGAAATTTGATAATATCCTCATGAAGTCATTTAATCAATATCTCTGTCCTCCACAGAAATTTTATTGTTGGTAATTTTCAAATTTCTTCGATTTTTCTCTTCAAATCTCTATATAGAGTATATGCTGATATAGCATAATTGAAGTTCTCACTTTTACTATGCCTAATGGATTGTTAGCTAAGGTAACAGTGTAGAAAATACCACGTGCCTCAACAGTTTTCTTAAATAATTTATTCACCATCTTGATTCATTCGTGCTGACTTATCTACAACAATCGATAGTATTTCTGAACCTGCGCCCCGGCTTCACCACCATGAACAGGAAGACTATATGTCCAGCCACAGGCAAAGACATGAAGGTAACCGTCGTGGGTGACGGCACCGTTGGCAAGACGTGTCTCCTCGTCACCCACATCAAAGGCGTCTTTCCAGAGGTTAGTTTCCATCAGCACCCTTGACAAAGCTGCTCCAACCATTTCTAAGAATCTCAGTTTACTTGAATTAACTTACTGATTTGTTTTGTCGCCCATACTACAAAAGCAAAGTTTTAGGACCGAAATTATTCTCATCCATGTTATTTTGTTACAAATAACTTATAATTTTAGCTGTAAATCCTGTAACAAAAAAAAACTAGAGAATAAAATTTAAATTCACGCAGATACAAAAGCACCTGATCTTGACCTTGTTGGCCAAAATGAGGTGCCGTGTTTATTCAAGATTACAAAGGAATATTTTATATTTTACGTCTGTCTGGTTTGAGCTGCTCAAGAATTCGTCTATGTTTTGCTTTCAACTATCGTTCAAGTTACAATAATCGTCCTCAAACCATCCAGACTGATCCAAAACTAAAGTTTACCCTGACGCTGTTTGCGTTACAATGATCGATTAACTTATCTGCAGATGAAGATCTTCCAGCCCATATTCTTGCCCGTCCAGCTATTGTAGTAGACTGTTGCTGGCCACGACTTGTTCGGCATTATCTTCAGATCGCGCGGTCCTCCCTCTGAAAAAGACTTGAACTTTACTCTTGTTAGAAGCTACAGAATGTGGGTGATCTTCGCGTGAGTTTGTCCTCGCCGGTTCTTCGCTTCTGATGTTCGTTTTATGAATTAGCGAACTTTCTCGTCAGAACTCCTGGGTTAAAAATATTGAGTCGAATTTAAAAATAGAATAACTTTTTGCAGGAGTACGTGCCAACTGTATTCGAGAACTACAAGCACGAACAGGTCATCGGCGACACGACCTACGTCATGACTCTCTGGGACACCGCTGGCCAAGAGGAGTACGAGAAGTTACGGCCTCTATCATATCCTCTGGTTAGTGGCCGTCGGTCTCTATTATTTATAAAAGTGATGAGGAATAACAATTGCACTTCTCACTGCTGCTCGACGTAATAACGAGTATCATTATTAAGCAATCGTTTCAACAATGATAGTTTATTTCTCGAATCAATTTCAATAGCTTTTATGAAGGGAATAATAGCCGTGCTTATTTACATGGAATTACATCATTATTACAATTAAATCTATTAGTAGCTGGAGGATGCTGTTTCAAAGTACGAGGCGTGTCCGTAAAACAAGTTCCACTGGCTGCCGTTACAGCTAGGATAATTTCTATGCGCGGCTAGGTATCAGAGGCAGGTTGTTTGATTCCCCCCACTGCAATCCTTTACCAAGCCAGTGTCCCTGCGAGGCTGCGACGTGCCACACATGCATGCTTGCAGTCCGACGTAAATGACGTTTAGTATTGCCTCAGCCGACGTCAGCGATGGAGCTTCCTCTTGCGTCTTCCGCCAGCTGCGATTTTCGGTCTGTTAACAGTTTCCTGGCCGCTAAGAAGAAATCGGCGAAGGAAATTCACGAAGAACTTCGACAAGTGTAAGATCGAGCTCCGGGATGGTGCGCAGATGAGTCAGTGACCTTACAAATGGCCGGACTGACGTCCACGACGACGCCCGTGCAGGGCGGCAATTAGTTTCTGACGAAACAATTGCCCAATGGAAGCGATAATGCTTGGAGATCGACGGATTACAGTTTGAGAGCTGTGTGAAAAATTACCGAGGTCAGCAAAACCACAATTGACAAGATTTTGACTGAACATTTAGGCTATTCAAAGGTCTGCGCAAGATGGGTGACAAAAATGCTCACAGCTGACCACCAACGGCTGCGGGTTAAAAACGGCCCTTTCCTCGCATCGGCCGCCCTGCACTGGGGTTCCATCGCTGACGTCTACTGAGGCAAGACTAAACGTCACAGCTGGGAGCCAGGCACGCTGGTTTGGTAAGGGATTGGAGTGGGAAATCAAACGGCCATTTTTTAAAGCCCTTGATCCATCCCGAAGCTCATATACCCTTCTCCATACACTTGACAAAATTCTTTGTGAATTTCCATCCCCGATTTCTTCTTAGCGGTCAGGAAACGAATAACAGACAGCAACTCGCAGCTGGCTGGAGACGCAAGATCAAGCTGTATCACTGAGGCAAACTAAACGTTACAGGGAGCCAGGCTCGCTGGTACGGGAAGGGATTGGAGTGGGGAAATCATACAACCTGCCTATGCTGCCTAGCCACGCATGGAAACGATTCTAGCCAATGCGGCAGCCCGTGGTACTTATTTTACGGACACGCCTCGTATTAACTGATAGTGGTTGTTCCTATTACTGGAAGGAAAGTAAACAATGTGTTTTTTACATTATATTCATTCATTTCGATTCAAAGACGTAAAATTTACGATGGACTTTGTCAACAGACTAGCGTGTTCATATTGTGCTTCAGTCTAAATACAATGTCCAGCTTCGAGAACCTTTCTAAGAAATGGATACCTGAACTGAGAGCGCACAGCGACAAGATTCCTATTCTTCTTGTTGGTGAGTAAATTAATTTCATTATAGCAAACAGAGTAAAACGGTAGCATGCATCTTGTGATGTATCTCAAAAAATCTATTAAGCTAAATTGTCTCTACTTTAAAACGTAAATTATGAGTGTGTGAAGAACTTTTTTTCGTTGTTATAGATTTTTTCTTTCTTTAATGTCAATAACTTCAATACATCAATTTTAAAAAATCCCAGACAAGTAGAAATTAGTCAACACAGTGGAGATTTGGATGCCTTATTGAACTAACAAAAATAAAAATTTGTTCGAAGTTAAAAAAAGGTGGAGATGGCAATAAGTGGACCGTGGATGTGACTGATGGGTCAGGGAGAGATGATCAATTACGTGATTGTTGGAGGAACATCAATCAGAAAGCATGAGATGTACTCATGCTTTCAAGAGTACATCATGAGATGTACTCATGTTTTCAAGTTAAAACTTGAAAACATTCACTCCAATGGTTACAGTTGTAATTGTAGACCTCATGTTTGACCGCTGCAGCGGTCAGCCTTGCAATTAATTTTAATTCCTTTCATTCCCCTGAAGTCTTGTTTCTCCTGTAGTCTGTACTCACATCAGTTCACACAAACAAATGTGTCTCAGTCTGTACTCAAATCAGTTCACACATTAGTTCACAACAAAAATTTTTGTTCGGCAGGCACCAAGAAGGACTGCCGAGGAACTGACGGTCTAAGTCCTAAACTGGGCGAGAATTTGTGTCGCAAGAAAGGCCTGCTGCAGTACCTGGAGTGTTCCTCGCTCACCCAGGAAGGCCTCAAAGAAGTGTTCGAAGCGGCGGCTCTTGCCGCTGCCGGCGAGTTCAAAAAGAGCTCAAAAACTTGCAGTATTTTGTAGTCTTTATAATTCAATACCATGGCAGTAATTGCTTCCTCCAGTGGCGTTTCGTGTAACAGCAATTTTTTATGGTATCTGCGGAAGATTTACTTTTGGTTCGTATTCTTGGCATTTGTTCTTGGTATTGAGGCGTGGTCCGAGGAGTGACTGTTTAAGTGTCTCTCAACAAGCAAGCGGTGATGCAATTTTGGCATCGCCGCAACCGTTGATGTGGCGTCGTTGTTGAAGTTGTTCTTTCGTCGGTAATTGAACGGATGGCTACTGCGTTTTTTTAGCAATTGTTGCTGCAGCCTATCCGAGCTTGGAACTGATAGATTTGGTGGTATGTTTCTTTCTAAACATCAGAGTCCAAACTGCACAAAGACATTTCGAAGTCTTATTGCTATATCAACGTCTCACGCAAACTATAGCTGCCCTTACTGTTAGTTTTGGAAAAGCTTATTCTGAGTCGGTATATCGTTCCTGTTGTAAATATTCTAATATTTTTGAGAGAAAGTTGCTTAGATTAGGATTAACTTGCGGTGTGATTTAACTTCAGTTCCTCGAAAACAACACGCATGCTTACTTCATAAAATTTTCCCCGTGATTGTTCCCAGTTGTAGTCTTCCTATCTGGCTGTGCTGCGAATGGTATGCACCATAAATATAAAAATATTTATAGTTGTCACATGTATGCATCTCATGTACAGATCTTGTTGTGATCGTAAAAGATATATTGAAGTCAAGCATCGCTGATTTCTACCTTCGACCTTCATTAACTGGGCTGTTTTGAATTGAGTCCAGTTGCTGGATGGAAATCGTGAATCTGTTCAGAATTGTATACGTAATTGATGCATAGATTTTCAAGTGCAGACTTCTGCAATTTTACTTGAACTTTCACTATAAATTAAGTGGATGAGAAACGCACTCAATATCTCGATATCCTTGTGTTGTGCAAACAACACAAATCGGTGCCTTCTGTCGTTTCTTTCTGTGAATATGTGCTTGTATTAGTGTATTTGAAAGCTGTTTTATTTAATGAAGTACCATGTATATTTGCTCGGTGCAATGCGGACCATCTTTAAATTACTGTGTATAAATGTTTATGCTGAATTCTCTATTATAAGTGTTTGTCGACTGCCGGTGTCTTAGTATTCTAGTGAATAGTCTCCTCGTCTTGTACTACTCGTTATGTTTTTCATGCATGAAACCTGCGTCAACGATCGTAGCGTCAAATGCCGAGTTGTGATCTATGTACATATATGGACAATCAACAGGAAATGTTAGGGTTTTTGTCTCAATTTACTGCCAAACTACAGCAAAAATTTGGCACAAACGTCATTCCATATGTTCTCAGCAAGTATCTTTTGCTTTGAATGAGCCATTGATACCGTAGACATTCTGATCCGATTTAGCCTTGGCCACACTAGAATGATCGTCAATACACATTTTCATGCCTTAGCTCCGATTGCTGTCCTCAAATCAAGTCATGAATTAGTTTCTTGGTAAATTTTGTATAATCGTTCACATCTTGTTTATTTCAGGTTGTGAAGCAATGCAAGATTTATTCGCAGCGATTCCCGAGTTTCGTGTCACCTAAATCATTCTATTCACTGTTCACCTTTGGTACCGTTCATTTGGCGACCATCGGAAGAACATTTTCTTCGTTTTACCCGCCCTTTTTGTTTTAATCGGCCATGTAGGTAATTTACGAAAGCAGAGTTCCAATGATCGGTTTACAATAAGTAATATAGCTGAAAAAATCCTCTTTATTCTGTCATGGCGGACCGAAACCTATTGTTAATTTAGTCTATTCAATTATCACGTGTGCCAAACTAGACTGGGATAATCGCAGGGTTTGTTTCTGTTTTATTCTCGCTTCTAAGTGGATTTCAATGCCGTATTTATAAGTAATTGATGATGTGTCTGGAGAATCATATTGCATTGATTTTTATTCAATGTGTAAATATTATATTTACTTCTCTACTAAGCAACAGTTTTTTCCCTTAACGAATATTTACTGTTGGTTACACTTCCGTATTCATTTCCATACGAGAACGTTAGTCTGTCAAGTTAATTTCTATATCGAATGTAGATATTCGGTCTTGTTTGAAATCCGAATAGTTACTAATTTTAAAGAAAACGTCATGTTCTTTACAATTTTTATTCCTATTTCAAATTATCAATGTTATACTTATTTGAAATAAACTTTTCCTGTCAATTAAAAGAGTGAACTTTTACTCCGCTCCTTTGTTTAAATTTGATTTCATAAAAATATTTTCCTGCATACTCTTTCATTGTCCGATTAGCTCACATTAAAATGAGGTAATAACGAAAGAACAGTCCACTTCAAACAAGATCCCATACCCAGACGTTATTTTATTTGACTCACTACTCGTAGGCCTCTCCAGAACCGAGGGGCCATGAATTCAACTTTAGGTGCAGATAGGAAGATCTTTTTCGACTGATTTTCAATAATTCGTAAAGTCACAAATTTTTTTGAATTGGTCTAAAGAAACCTTATGTGTTTTTTTTATTAAAGAAACGTAGCCCAATATGGAACCAATCATTTATGTTTTTTATAATATCTTTAAAATAGTACATTTTTAGTGTAAACATCCTTTATTCATTATTACAGCATTATTGTTAGTCCTACTATATTAATAACTGCAATATTCCAAATTGAATTGAGGCAACACACAATTAGGATGTTACTAAACAAGATTCTATATTCAAACCTATTACGGATGGTCTTGATAAGCTCCTGAAGAATGCTGTACTTTCAATAAAATTGTGTAACTGATAAAATAAGTGTTCAGGATTTTTTATTTTTGCATGTATATACTCATGGAAAGGTAAAGAACAACTACAGCCTTTTGCAACTGCAATTAAATATATCCAGGATACACATTAGCCAATCGCGTGTTAGCGTCATTTGTTAGCTACGTCGTGGGGTGAACATCAGCTAAGGGGGTAAGATGCTAAGTTCCACTAGAATTCAATAACGTAATGAAACATTTCAGTATAACTGTCATAACTAAATACTATATGTGTTTTCTATATTCTTTTTATATTGTTACTCCATTATGCTCATGTCATGCTTGTATTCTAAAGACCTATACCACCCTCAGGTGTTGGTCGTGCCGTCATTCTCCAACCCATCAATAAACATTCTAAACCTTCATATTCTTACTCAATCCTACACATATTTACTACAATCAATGGGAAGAGGAACGGTTGTTATCACTTCTAAATCTCAATTCACAACCTCTTAAGCACACCCTCTTCTAAACTGTAAGTCTCAGCTTGTTTTTGGTTCAGAAATTATTAAGAAACTACACGCAATTCTGAGAAGTGCATCCTGTCACGCTTCAAAATCTAATCCTCACACTCATGGCTCATTAGTAAGCGTTTGGTGCTCAATAATAACAAATTTGCTGTGGCGGATATCAAATTTAAAATAAAGCTCTATATTTTGCTGCATTTCTAATGTTAAAAACTAGCTAGGGCTAGAAATAGTTATCAAATTTTTAATTGCAAAAATCCATTCGAAAAATAAAGGTTATCTCTTTAAGGTAAGTGGTAGGGTCGCGTGTTCTCTACGCAAATCCTAGTCCCTTGAAAGAACTAGGATAATTCTATCGTATTTATAGGATAATTAATATATCATGCTTATCCTAGCCACATCCACCTCCAATCACCTTTCACAATTATATATTGAGGAATCTCCTAAATCATAAATTAGCTGGTAAATGTGTGTACCTGCATTTGGGTAATTTCTTGCAATCATTTCGAAGTTTGCGTCAAACCAAGTTGGCCGCATGTGGGATAATTCAGAGTGAGGCGCTATCAGAATTCTTAATTTAGACAACGCTTTATCGCCTTCTTATCATTGCTATCATTCGGATATCGCTGATATCAGTCTGACTCTTTCAGATTCGAGGTATCGATCAAGAAAGAAGCATCCTCCCGCTTCACAAAGATTTGTGTTCCTTAAAGAAATTGCTCTATGTGGAATTTTTTTATCAACATTCCTATTGAACTAAACCTGGGTTTGTTCTTCAGTGTGCGAGAGCTTTCGTGTTCGAGGGTACCTCAAAAAGTTCGTGGATAAACAGCAGGTTGAAAAAAACTATCCAAGGCATCAGTTTTATTTTCATTCATACGCCCTATCCAGGTCGATACAGTTCTGTGAACGCTGATACCAGCCTATATGTAAATCCATCTGTGTAAAACTGAGTCATGCGAATGAAATCACGTTATGGCAGATCTTCTTGCATTTTTCAATAGTTGGAAACTGAGTATTTTTCAATAATTTTGTCAGGTTTGGAAAAAAAGTCGATGAGGCTAAGTCGGTCCTATTAGGTGGATGCCGAATGATTTCCCTTTGAAATTCGTGTAGCACAGCCTCTGTCTGCCGAACGCAATGTGCGAGTGCATTGTCGTGGTGGACGAGTACGTTGGCGCCGATGCTGCTTGCCAAGACCTTTTTCGGCGTTTTTTTCATAAAATCTCTTTATAATAAACAGCTGTAGCATTTTTCTTCTTGCTCTCGAGGAAATCAATGAACAAGATCGGCCCTTGCATGATTCTTCCTGATCTAGATGCAATTGCCTAGGAAGTGGGAATCCATTGAGCAGAGGGCTTGCTCAGTCCCAAACTGCCCACCAGAATTTTGTGTATGGAACTCAGAGAGATGTTTAATGTCTCTGGTACTGATTAAGTTGTTCTTTTTTTCAATGAGATCACGGACTCATTGTTTTCCAATGTTTTCCCTAAAAACTGACGTGACATTTCCCAAAAACTAACGTGACTTTCCCCAAAAACTGACGTGACTTTCCCCAAAAACAGACGTGTGTCTCTATAATCTTATCCCAGAGAGCTGCCGATTTTGCTGTTCTTCCGCCCAAGCTTCTATATCACTATGAATTTGTTGTTGTACCTGGCCTCAATTTCGGCAGATGCCGTTTTGCATGAACGGTTGTTGCTTTCAAAATGCGCCCCGCGTTTATAACATAAATTTAATGGTTCATATGAGAACACGTTATACATTGGTACAGGATCGTTCTAATGCATTGGGCACATATTCTTTTCTTTAGTTTTCAGTTATGTCCATTTTCCACGAACTTTTTGAAGCCCCTCATATGTAATATCCAGCAAGTTGCAAATTATTAGTATATACTTTTAATGTAACTGGGCATTCGGAACAGATCCTTTTTATGTGAGTTTATATTTATGTTTTTTATCTACCGATACGAACATCGGTTGTTTTAGAGAAGCGATATACGTCAATATTTCCGATATACGTTTTTGTAATGCACAGATGAGGAGTTAATTTTGAATTAAGAACAATTTAGGTGTTTCGTTGTATGTTTCAATCATCTGTGATCTTATTCTTAACGGCATGAAATTTGATAATTTCCCTAATAAGTCATTTAATCAATATCTCTGTCCTTCACAAAAATTGTTTTGTTGGTTTATCAAATTTATTTGATTTTTCTCTTCAAATCTCTGCAGTATATGCTGCTATCGCTTATGCCTTATTTGAAGTTCTCCCATTTACTATGCATAGTGGATTGTTACGTAAGGTAACGGTGTAGAAAATACCACGTACCTCAAAAGTTTTCATAAATAGGTAGATAGTTTATTCACCATCTTGATTCATTCGTGCTGACTTATCTAAAACATTCGATAGTATTGCTGAACCATAGCCCCGGCTCCACCACCATGAACAGGAAGACTATATGTCCAGCCACAGGCAAAGACATGAAGGTAATCGTCGTGGGCGACGGCATGGTAGGCAAGACGTGTCTCCTCGTCACCCACATCAAAGGCGTCTTTCCAAAGGTGAGCTTCCATCGGCACTCTTTGGATGAAGCTGCTCTAATCATTGCCAAGAAAATCAGTTCACTTAAATTACTTATTAATTTTTATTATCGCCCATACGGGCCATACCACAGAAACAATTTCAGGACCGAAATTATCCTCATGCATGTTATTTTGTCAAAAATGACTGTATAATTAAAGTTGTAAATCCTGTAACAAAAGAAAAATAGAATAAAAACTAAAATTCATGCGCAAACAAAAGAACCCCCAACAAAATTTAAATGTGTGAGCGACTCTGCATCTGGGCCGCCTAAGACTCGGGGAACACGTACGTTAATCAGCTTCTCTGTGTCCGCTTCGGCTCAGGGTTCGATAGGCAGCCTCTGCGCAGCATGCTAGCTCGATATGACTGGGCTCGGCCAACCGTTATCTCAGGCGACTATAAAGTCGGAAAGTAGATTATGGCCCAGACACTGATTTCGATCGGGTAGCCAAACAGACCCAGAATAACTTTCCGCTGAGTGTAGTGACTTTTCGGCCGAACCCTAGGCGGTCCACGAATTTTGTTAGGGACCTGCTCATGGCCTTGTTGGCAAAAATGACGTGCCGTGTTTGCTCAAGATGATAAAGGAATATTTTATATTTCACGTCTGTCGTGCTTGGGCTGCATAAGAATTCGTATATAATTCATCGTATGCTTTACTTTTGCCTATCGCTCAAGTTACAAATTCCGAACTCAAACCACTCAGACTGATCCAAAAAAGAAGTGTACCCTGACGCTGTTTGCATTACAATAACAGATTAACTTATCAACAGATGAAGCTACAGCTGGCATGTCATGTATGTGATCTTCACGTGCGTTTGCACTCGCCGGTTTTTCGCTGTTTTTGTCCGTTTTATGCATTAGCGAACATTCTGGTCAGAATACATGGATTGGGAAATGTTTATCTAATTTCAATTTTAATATCTTTTTTGCAGGACTACGAGCCAACTGTATTCGAGAACTACAAGCACGAACAGGTCATCGGCGACACGACCTACGTCATGACCCTCTGGGACACCGCTGGCCAAGAGGGGTACGAGAAGTTAAGACCTCTTTCATATCCTCTGGTAGGTGGTCGCCGCTCTCCGTTAATTATGACAGTGATAATGAATATAATTAACAAACGCACTTCCTACCGCTGCCCGACGATGTGACGAGTATCACTATTAAGCAATCGTTTCAACCCTAATATTTTATTGTCGCGAATCAACTACAATAGCTGATATGAAAGAAATAATAGCCGTGCTTACTCAGATGGAATTTCATCATAAAAACAAATAAATCTTTTAGTTGGAGGATACCGTTCCAAAATATTTGTTGATAGTGATTGTTCCCATTATTGGAAGGAAAATTAAAGAATTTGTTTTATACATTATATTCATTCATTTCGATTCGAAGACGTTGAACTATAACGATGGACTTTGTCGACAGACTAGCGTGTTCATATTGTGCTTCAGTCTCGATCGAATGTCCAGCTTCGAGAACCTTTCTAAGACATGGATACCTGAACTGAGAGCGCACAGCGACAAGATTCCTATTCTTCTTGTTGGTTAGTAAATCAATTTCTCTATAGCAAACTGAGCAAAAGAAAAGCATGCATCTTGTGATGCAGGTCCAAAAAACTCAATGTTCAAAGTTGTCTCTACTGGAAAACGTAAGTTTCGAGTGTGTGAAGAATGTTTGTTCGGTGTTACAGATTTCTTCTTTTCTTTTAAAATGTAAGTAACTTCAATAAATCAATTTTAATGCATTCCAGATTAATATAATTTAATCAACATAGTGGAGGTTTTAGGGTCTTGTTGAATCAATAAAAAATAAATGTTCGTTAAATTTGATTGAAGTATAAACAAAGTGGAGATTGCAATAAGTGGACCATGGATGTGACTGATGGTGCAGAAAGATGATCAATTTCTTAAATTTTGGACGAACGTCAATAAAAAAGTATGGGATGTACTCGAGCTAAATTCCAACACGTTCATTCCAAGATTTCGATTGGAATTGAAGACCCCATGTTTGACCATGGCAGCGGTCGGCCTCGTAGTAATATACATTTATCTGGTATGAAAAAATGTTCAATTTAAGAGAAGAGACGCTTTTCCCGAGACACCTTCACAAAAAAAATTAAATAACATGAATAAATCGTGAAGCCGGTGTATAGATATTTGGTATGTTTAGTGATCATTTTGCTTTTTATTATTGTTTCAACAATCATGAAAACTCAATTCTTGCCATGATTGCTGTCACCTCCCTCTTTCCCAGTTGTCTCCATCAAGACTCTTATTTTTCATACCTCACCTTTCACCATCGGGAACTTCACAGTTTCTTTCGCAGCCCCTAACCTAAAACAGCCATCCTCGCTCCTCTCGTTCCTCCTGTAGTCTCGTTCCTCCTGTAGTCTCGTTCCCCCTGTAGTCTCGTTCCTCCTGTAGTCTCGTTCCTCCTGTAGTCTCGTTCC